CCCCACATCGGGCTCCCTGCTCAGCGGGAAGCCTGCTTCTCCCTCTCCCACTCCCCCTGCTTGTGTTCCCTCTCTTGCTGTGTCTTTCTGTCAAATAAATAAATAAAATCTTTGAAAAAAAAAAGAAAAGAAAAATGATGAGCTGACCTGAGCCCTTCCAGCCCTGGCCTTCTCCTCCTCCCCCCAGTTCCTGCATTTGCAGACCCACACCAGGCCACAGGCCGCAGGCCTAAGACGTGACTCCTGCCCTCCCCCCCCAAGCTGCCTCTCTGCCTGGCACAGGCAGGGGTACCCCTCCCTCCCCATCCGTCCTCCATCCTGCCCCCACCATGCCCCAACCTCAAGGCCTCTGATCTTGGAAGGAAGACCGAGGAGCTTCTGTGGCCCAGCGAAGGATGAAGACTCGGGTCAGGAGAAGAAAAGAGGGCTGAAAGCTCCTCAGGCCCGAGCGCCCTGCTGCTCTGGGAGCACCATTTACTGAGTCTCTACTATGCATCAGGCAAGGCGTCGGCCTTACAGTCCTCACCACGAGTCCGTGACCAGTTGTGACACCGGTGTCCCACGTACAGATTTAGAGCGGTCAGGTGGACCCCAGTGCGGGTCCACGTGACACATGTCCCCCCCAACCACTGGGGCCCCCTGCTCCCGACACCACAGGCACTCTGCTGGGTTTGACCAACTTTTATTAAGACACCACAGCCAGAGCGACGGGCCAGCCCCGGGGAAGGATACCGGTCAGGGGGGGTTGGCTAGGCCTGGATGGCGCTCCTGATGACCTGAGCCATGAAGGAGCAGAAATCGTTAAACACACTCCAGATGGCCTCCACCGCCCTGCAAAGGGCCTGCACGCCAGCAGCCAGGGTCTTCTTCAGCCAAGCCAGCGCGGCCTGCCACTTCTGCCAGAGGCAGCTCAGCAGCCTCTGAAAGGACCTCAGGGCTCGCTTACAAAAGGACTCCTTGGGAGAGCAGCCCTCAGGACTCTGGTCTTCCAGGGAAAGGACAGAGGACCTCCGGACCCTGGAGCGCAGTTCCTGCCGCACCTCGGGAAGTAACGGAGAGGAGTCCTGCAGGGATGGGGTTGGGAGGCCGTTCGGGTCTTGGCCCCGGGCTGAGGCCTCCCAACCTTCCTGAGAATCTGGGAGACAGAAGCCCGCAGACGAAGCTGCCCGCTTTCCCGCCAGCAGGTCCCCACATGCGCGGACTTCTCCCGCCGACTTCCTCCCCCTCTCCCGGCATAAACCACCGACGTGGTGCGGACCCTGACCAGCCTCGATCGGAGCCCGGCCCCCGGCCCTCGGGGCCCAGCGCACGCGGCACTGAGGGCGGAGAGGGGGCTCTTGCCCGGATGTGCTGGGCGGGGGAGGCCGGTGCCGGAGGTTGCCACCTCCCCGGTCTCGAGGGGCATCCCTTCCCCCTGTGTCCATACATGGCCACACCAAAATCCAGACAGAACAGGTGGGGAAGGGAAGCAAGGAGGGCCGAGGCGGGCGCCTCCCACGCACCTGATTGCTGTTCTGATAATGCAGATCCATGGCGGCGTCGAGCAAGGCCTCATTGAAGTCGTCCTGGGGAGAAGAGGGTGCGGAGGCTACCGGCCTGCTCCTGCCTGCTGCAGTCTGCAATCCCCTGTCACCTCCATGGGGCCAGGTGAGTCAACAGGGAGCCAGGAGCCCAGACCCAGTAACGCGGCTGAGCATCACCCTGGGGACTAAGCTGTGGAGGAGGAGCCATGCCCAACTCACCTCCAGCTGCAGTAGCGCGACCTGCTCCTGTTGGGGAAAAATCACTCGTTTAATCCTCCCAGCGTCTCCCACACTCAGTCTTATCCCCAAGCTCCCGGGCTGTTCTCGGCTCACCAGGCCCCCATAGCTGGGTCCAGCCCAGGGGTCTGGGGACCAGGTGTCTGGCATCCCTGCCCTGTCATCGATATGCCCAGTGACTTGGACACATTCCTCAGCCTCCCTGGGACTCTGCATTCCTCACCTGTGCACACACCTGCCACACAGGTGTGAACTGAGAGATTAGCCTATTGCGAGGATCTGTCCAGTGGAAGGAATGGGCAAACCTGGGGCAGCATCTTCATCTTCTCCATCACCACCATCATCGTGAAACCACCCACCCAAGCCAAACTGTAGAGAGCAGGCGAGTGGGGGGCACAGTGACCCACCTGCTCTTGTCCTTCTGGTTGATGTCGATGATTGTTAAAGAAACTGTCCACCATCTGGTGCTGTGAGGGGAGGAGAGGCAGCGGTGGGAAAGAAAGGCCTGATCCTCCCCACCCCCGCCCCCAGGGCCCAGGTGGGCTGGACATTCCTAGCTCCACACAGCAGGACCCAGACGCCCCTCACTCCCCCAACCATGCATTGGGAAGAGCTTCTTACCATTCTGAGTTGTAAAATCTCAGTCAGACTTCTGCCTTCCTGTGGAGGTAACAGTAATTTTTTTCAGGCTCGTGTGACCTTGCCACCCCCCCACACTTGCTGTATTCGTGCGCACGCATGCGCACACACACACACACACACACCTAGGAACATTGCTCTGGAGAGTGCAGGGTCTACCGTGTTACCGAATACCTGAGCTCTCCGTCCAGGCTGACAGTTGGCCAAGGGAAGGATTGGCAGTGGCCAGTCTTCTCTGAGGTGGTGACAGAGATGCAGGGACACCCGTGGCCAGAAACGCTTCCTGACTGCAGACTCTGCAGACCCATCTCCCCTGCCCAGACTCTTGGCTTGACCCACAGAAATGCGAGGTACACCAGAGCCTCCCTCCCACATCTCTACCTTAGGGCCACATCTGGTTTCCAGGGCATACAGGGTCTACTGCGATTGGTGCTTCCTCTGGCCCTCTCCAGCTGCCCCACAAACATGTCGGGTCCTAGAGCAACCCCCTTGTCCCACAGCACACCCTGTTCCTCAGGACCCCGACACACACACAGAGCTGCCCCCCATAATTTACCCCCAGACAGGAAATCTGGCCCCACAAGGACCTGCTCTATAAAGTGAATGACTCAGGGACTCCTGGGTGGCTCACTGGGTTAAGCGTCTGCCTTCGGCTCAGGTCATGATCCCGGGGTCCTGGCTTGAGCTCCTTCGGCTCAGGTCATGATCCCGGGGTCCTGGGCTTGAGCTCCATGCCGGGCTCCCCGCTCTCGGCGGGGAGTCTGCTTCTCCCTCTGCCTGCTCTGCCTGTCACTTCCCCTGCTTATGCGGTGCATGCTCTCTCTCTCCCTCCCTCTGACAAATAAAATCTTAAAAAAATAAATAAAATGAATGACTCAGAATGTGAGGCTGTTTGTCAACAATTATTCAGAATTTCAGGACAGTGATGGCAGAGCATTCGACCAAGCAAGCTCAGGCTCATTATGAGACTGGGGCCCTGTTGAGTGCCTCAGACCCCTGCCTCCTCAGGGGGCTCCTCCACTGGTCTAGGAGAATGGGACAGAGCCAGGTGCATGTGGAGGGATCAGCAGGTCCGGGGGCCAGCACAGGTGGGAGAAGGGGGACCCACAGTTCAGAAATGGTATCCGGGGCCCACCGCCCCCTCCCCTCCCTCCCTACTCACTCTCGATACCTGGGTGAAGCACATGGTTGTTCAGGCCTCCAGGGGCTGTGACCTGGTGGGCAAGAACAGGTGTAAGGAAGAGTCTTCAGAGAAGCAGGCTTCCCGCCACCGCCACAGAAAGTCCCTTTGGCTGCAGCTCCCTCCCTGGGCCTCCACTGAGTCATCACCTTCTCACAGATTCTCCCAGCTGAGGTTTCTGCTCCTGAGAGAAAGTCGCTCTTTTAAGAGGGAGGAGGGAGGGGTTGGGGGAGGGGGGAGCCTGCCCTAAAGGCCGGATGTGGGGCTCTGTGTGTGTGTGTGTGTGTGTGTGTGTGTGTGACACAGAGACAGAAGCAGAGGACAGACAGGGAGACTAAAGGGTCTGGGAGGGGTTGGCCATGGCTCTAGCTGTGGCCGCTCCACTCTGGAGTGAGCAGGAATCTCAGAGCCTGGAAACAGGCCTCTTCCCCAACCTCATCAGCCTGAGATGGGGGAGGAGCAGCGGGAAAGTGCAGTCTTGGGAAAGCAGACTGAGATGATCCCTGAGCTCTGGAAAATGAAGTCATCCAGCTGGGGGAAGTCCCGAGGAATGCTGGCCAGGTCACTTGGAGCAGAGTGTATCCCAGCTGCCAAGTCCAGAGAAGGTTCCCAGAACCTCCTGGCCTACAGTGTAGCAGGACCTGCAAGACCCCTAAGGTGGGCCCACCAGGCGGGGCGCCTGAACATACTGTCCCATGTGCCCCTGCAGGGGCGGCTGGAGGCCATGCCTATCTGCCAGGGGACAGGGTAAAGCCCTCAGGAGAGGTTGGGGATGGCTTGCTGTCGGCCTAGGCCCAGCCGACCAGGCTATCCTGAGCCCTCCTGGGGCCGAGGGATGCCATGGTCCTGCAACACTCAGGCACCTGTGTGTGGTGGTTGGGGGGCGGTCCCGGGTCCTAGCGTGCCTCTCACACAGCCAGGCCCACCCCCTGCTCTCCCCTTACCCCGCTCTGGGGCCAAAGCCCCTCCCAGTTCAGCACAGCCTCCGTCTGCCCTCTGTACTGGTGTCTGGGGGCGGGCACAGCAAAGTACAACCGCTGGGGTGCCTAAACCACAGAAGTGTATTCTCTCCCACTTCTGGAGGCCAGAAGTAGAAATCAAGGTGTCAGCAGTGGTTCCTTCTAAGGGCCTTGGGGGAAGGGCCTCTCTCCCAGGCCCGCAGCCAGCCATCTTCATGTCCGAGTCAATCTCCTTGTATGTGTGTCTGTTCTCAAATCTCCCATTTTTATAGGGACAGCAGTCCTATTGGATTAGGGCCCATCCAATGACCTCATTACCTTGATTGTCTCTGTAAAGACCCTATCTCCAAATCAGGTCACATTCTGACGTGCTGGGGGTTAGGACTTGAACATATGAGTTTGGGGGGATACAACTCAGCCCCTAACACCCTCAAAGAGGACCTGGGCTCCTGGGGTTCCACCAGAAGGACGGAACTATAAAGCACATTTCCTTGGTGAAGGTCTCACTTGCATTAACTAGACCCCGGCTGGTGTCTCCCTGCCCCTAGGAGCCCATCATTGGTCTGAAACTCCTTTTGCACACCTGGGAGTCCAGATCCTTCCCTGAGCCATCTTTAAATTCCAGGTGGAAAGAGAGAAGACAGTTGCTCCTGCTTCACCTGCAAGTAATACTTCTGGGCTTCATCTGCGGACGCCTCGCTCCCTGATCCCATGGGACACTTGGCCCCTCCATGACTGGCTCACAAAGACCACCATCTGCAGGCATTTTGTATTTCTTTGCGGACTGTACCATTTTCTTTATAGTTTTAGTGCGAAATAATTCACATACAATTCACCCATCAAAGTGTATGATTTTCATCACCTCAAAGAGAAATCCCATACCCCTTAGCCAGAACCCCCAATCCCAAAACCCCACCTGCACCAGTCCTAGGCAACCCCTCATCTACGATCTGTTCCCGGATTTTCCTGTTCTAGACATTTCATATAAATGGAATCACATGGAAATGGTCACACTATGTGACCTTTTGTGTCCAGTTCCGTGCACTCAGCACAGTGTTTTCCATCCACAGTGTTTCCATCCGGCAACATGAATCAGAACTTCATTCCTGGGGCGCCTGGGTTGGCTCAGCCGGTTAAACCTCAGCCTTCGGCTCAGGTCATGATCCTAAGGTCCTGGGATCGAGCCCCGCATCGGGCTCCCTGCTCAGCGGGAAGCCTGCTTCTCCCTCTCCCTCTGCCGCACGTGCTCTATCTCTCTCTCAAATAAATAAATATTTAAAGAAGAAAAAGAACTTCATTCCTTTTTATGGCTGAATAATATTCCACTGCATCAGTATGCCACCTTATGTATCCATTCACCTATTGATGGTGTATTTGGGTTGCTTCTACCTTTTGGCTATTATGAATCCTGTTGCTGTGAACATGTGTGTGCAAGTTTCTGTACACAGGTTTTTCCTTCTCTTGGGTTGACCAGTACTTACGATGATGTTGTTTTGAGTCTAGCCACCCTAGTGGGTGTGAAATAGTATCCCATCCCGGTGTGGTTTTGATTTGCATTCCCCTTAGGACTAGTGATGTGGAGCATCTTTTCCTGTGTTTGTTGACCACTTGTATATCTTCCTTGGAGGAGTGTCTAGTCTGATCCTTTGCCCATTTTTAAACTGGTTTATTTATTGGGGTGCCCGGGTGGCTCAGTTGTTAAGCGTCTGCCTTCAGCTCAGGTCATGATCCCAGGGTCCTGGGATCGAGCCCCGCATCGGGCTCCCTGCTCTG